AACAACGTTCCTATTGAGGAGATGGACGCCGAGTTCTACCGCAAGCTTCACGGCGAGGACGCATTTACTCGTGACTCGTTTGCCTCGAAGGGTGCAGAGATGGATAAGGAAGCGGGGTACAAGTCTGTGAGTACTCCAACCACGTCATCTTCATAGGTGGGATGATCGAAATCCCGTTAAGCGTTGCATTTTTGTAGTAATGATAAGATTATCGAAAGGGGTAATGAAAATCTATTTTCCGAAGTGCATCGTTGAACAACTTTTTCTTTCGCTAGGAAAAGTTGTCACTAATACATTTATAGACAATACAAGGCTGAACATGTCAGGCAAAAATTAGGTTGTAGACAGATAGTTGCGTGTCAAACTTACTTTTAAGCATAATTTGCCAAAACATCAATCACGCATGAAAATGCATCGCAAGTAGCAGTTTGCTGAAACCCCTGTGTTCTCAAGCTGCCTCAGCGTTCCGAAGGATTCCGCCAGCCGAGAACTGGAAGTGTCCAATTTGGAGGGTCGTGGTGCAGAGCTGCGAGCTCTGCTCGTCAAATTGGATATCTTGAATAGTGGCTACCTTGCTCACCAAGTCACGAGCTGTGGCAACATCGTCTTTACTGGCGCCGCCATAAACAACACACCAACCACGATCTCTAAAGCAGGCGACACCATTTAGTGCAGCAAGGCCGTTAATTGCCGTCCTGAAATGATCCAGCTGTTGCTCACTCGTTGCAGAGGCAATTGCCAGCTTAAAGTAATACGGACACCCAGCAATTCTGTCGAGAGTCATGAGAAGCTTATGGTTCTCCACAGCGTCTTTCAAGTACCATTCCAAGCGACGAAGTGCATCAGGACTCGACGTTCTGCCCAAACCCACAAAATCGCGCTCCTTTGAGTAGGTCTGCACCATCTCTCGAAAATTTGGCGGCTCTCGTTCAGATAGAGGTGTCTTCAGCAGACGCTTCTCCAACGCAGCTAGAACTTCACTGGCCTGAGCCTTCCGGCCGACAGAAACGCTGATACGTGCCGTGCGCACGACAAACTTGACGAAATCGATCGTTGTAGCACAGAGTTCCCGCACAGGAGCTAGAACGGCGTCAGGTTCGCCAGCGTGATCCATTCTATAAAATTTCTGTATCATGTGGATCACTTGTGTGGCCTCATACGAAATGTCGACTCTCAGTTGAACGCCAGTGTTGATAATTTTGTTGGCATCGGCCTGCACCTCGGCGGCGTCGTCCAACCTCTGGATCACTTTGCAGACGTGCTGCACGTCTTGTACTTTGTCAACGGAGGCAATGTTGGGATCGCGCAATCGCGTGAATGCAGCCATCGTGTGTTGGAGGGAATCCTGAACCGTAGTGTCACGCTTTTCATCGCTCGAACCAATTCCCAGCAAAGCAGCTATCACCGCTGCTGTTGGCGAAGTACCGGCTTCAGTCACTACAGATGGAGGTGATCCCGTGGCTGCTGTTAAACTAGTAGCGGCATCTCCAGCTGTCATTCCAGCGTCGTCTTTTGCTTCTTTCTTGGATTTCTTTTTCCTCTTGGACCGCATCGGCGCGCTCGTAGTGAGGTCGTCCAAAGCTCGTTGTCGCTCTCCGTCGCGCTGGGCGAACAGCGACTTCCGGGAGTGTTCTGCGAGACGAGTCAGACCCTGTTGAAATAGTCCAGGTCTCTCTCTTCGTCCTCGGCCCATACTGCTCGTGAGTTCAATCCTTGCCTCGATCACGGCAATCTCTTCCGCGAGCTTCCGGTCCGTTGTCACCTCACACACACGTCGTCCACTCCCGTCTTTGATCCGGACATCCGCTCCGTAGCCTTGGAGGCCATAGTACAGTTCCCTGTGTCCGTGCTTGACTGCCAAGTGTGCCAGTGTTTCCTTCGTATGGTACGTGGGCGTGTTCAAGTCCACCATGTTGTCCCACTCAAGAAGGAGCTTGACCATTTGGCTATATCCGGCAATCGTGGCACTGTGGATAGCCATGGTGTTCGGCAAGAGCTTCCTAGGGCACGTGAGGTCTCGTTGTCGTGGCTCCTTTCGGCAGTGCAGAGGCTGGTTAAACAGAGCTCCCATGTGGATCAGCCATTCCAGCAGTTTCGCGTCGCGCGCAGGACCCACAGCCGCCTGATGTAACAGCGTACAGTGATTGTCCTCCGTATCAGGATTGAACTCAGAGCCACGCGAAAACATACCCAACAGAAGCGGGTCCTTCTTGATTTCAGCCTTGAGGACGCTCAAATTCCGACCGGTTAGTGGCCCTCTACTAGACTTCATCAGCCTCATGAGATCCGAGAAAATCTGCTCTCGATTCTCATTCTCCGTCTTCGTTTTAAACGACACCGAGCCATATTCTCGGTTAACAAAGTCTGGTCCAGCAGGAAACGTGAAATATTTCTGCTCGCAGACTTGCGAAGGCGTCGCGAATCTGGCCTTGATGATAGCAGCTACTGCCTCGCATGAACGCTGAATAAAACTCCCATCCACAATAAACTCCACAGTAGCTCTAATAGAAGCCGGAACAGCATTGGAATCCACGGATCCGTCTGAGCGTAAAGCGTCCATGAGCGCCAATAGAGGAACCATCACCGAGTGCTCGACTGCATCTCTGACCTTGACATCATGCGGCCTGTGTTTGAGCGCCTTTGCAATGAACTCGTCGCGAATCTCTTGTCGACCCAGCGCGTCGCACATGTCCGAGAACGCGTCCACAAGATCATCGTTGAGCGTTAGCAAGTCGCGTGATAAAATCCGTGTCTCAAACATCTCCTTGGAGCAAACATCGGCAGCTTTCTTGAGCATTTCTTTGGACGACGCTCCTTTCAAGAACGACATGTCGTCGTGCATTAGTCGATAGGTCAGCGACGCCATGTTCCGATCCGCAGTTTTCATTCGCTCCCTCACATGTTTACCGGTTGCTGAGGCGCTTGCGTACGTTGCATCAATAGAGCTCCCGGACCAATTGGAGGCCAGCAGGTAGACGCGATGGTAGGAGCCGTGTACCGCTGTCGCTCGTGACGATGGATTGAAGATCATTTCCTCGTAGATGTCCAGCATCTCGTCAAAGAACGGGATACGCTCTAGAAAGCCCTGCTGGACTAGTGCATTGTAGAGCTGACAGAAGGCTCGACATGTGGAGAAGTCTCCGCCTCCTATCAGCAAGTACTCTAAGTGATTCGACATCATCTGAGAGCCCGCAAACAACGGGTTCGCACGTGCTAAGTCGTTCTGCAGTAGCGACGAGTGGAACCCGTTCATAATGTCCTCTATAATAGCATGAAGCGAGTCTCTACTCGCTAGCACCGAGTGCTTGGGCAACGAGGTCTTGACGACTTGGATCAGATCCTCCGTGTGCTTAATTGTAAGCCCAATAGTGCGAGTAAGACCCGCGTCGCCCTGCAGAGCTGTGACCGACTGCATCCAGCATATACAGAGGAAGACGAGTTGGATAGTCACTTGTCGAGTGGCCAAATACTCTTCCATGGCGTTCATAAAGTCCACTACCAGTCCACTTTGTCCTTCGTATCCACGTCCCATCACAGCAATTTTTCTGGCAATTTCAGTGTACAGCAACGGTAGTTGTTGAGCGAGTAGAACGACAAAGTGGTTGGTATCGGGTAACACGTATTCAGGCGTTCGCTCCTCCCCGTAGTTTGGGCCAAAGTAGCCATCAGGGAGAGCGATCAGGTGTGCCTTCTCGATCGGCTCGATCGGGGGGAATAGCGTCGTGAAGACGGATAAAGTGAGCCATACATTGCTAAAGTCATGCAGTAGCGTACCTGGCACGAACTCGAACGTTCCGTTTGCCTCGAAACTCGCTCGTCTCTGTGCGATCGCCTTAGTGAGGCGAGCGGCAAGACTCGACGACGGGTAGCACACCAGCACTCCGACCAAATCCTCGGCCAACTTCAACGTTGGGTAGCGCAGTTGAAGCTTGGCTGTCAATTGGTTGGCCATGTGCAGAGCCAAAGTCCCCACGACGGTGGCTTCCATCATGGTTTTCTCCTGCTTTTTCACCTGGTCGTAGATACTGAAGACGCCCTCGACCAGCTCCTCCAGCTCCATAAAGTAGCACACAACTTCCATTTGAAGATCTTGGGCGAAAGCCTCGTCGAATAGCTTCTTCCGTTCGGCCTTGGACTTCTTGGAAGCCCCTTTGTCTTTAATAAACGTCTCTTCATCCGGGAAATAGTCCTCGTCTACCTGCAAGACTTGATAATAGTTCTCAAATCGCCGGATCTCCCTCTCAACGGGGAGTTCCTGCGCCACCTCAATGCTCTTCAGAGTGTCGACCCACCGTCGTAATAGTGCGAGGAAGTGCCGGTGGCCGCGCTCCTGGTCGTCGAAGAACAGAGCCACGTGCTGTCGTAGTGTGATGGCGCATTGGCCAGCTCCCAGGGCCTTGGGGAGGTCCTGTAGCAGCTTGGGCGTAAGTGTCGTGGGGTCTTGAGCGATGTCTTCCACGACCGCATCGAACGCGTTGAGATCCAGACGCTTACCGGCGAACCGCCCTCGACCACGAGCACGTAGCAACCAGTCAAGGAAGAAGGCGGTGGCGCGCTTGTACCGCGAGTATTTGCTCGCTGGGAACGACATGGCGAGGGATGACGCTTTGGGGTTCCCTTGCGAGTCGGAGAATGGTGGAATCTCTGGGCCTCCACGCATTCCGCACACACACTGACCTCAGACGAAGTAGCCTCGACCAATATAGCGCCATCTTTTGGAGACGCTGAGTTGAATGGAAGACTGCATAAATACTACTTCAAAAAAATCATGTAAATCATGATTTTTTTATTTTGGCACTCGTTATTTAGACAGACTGGGTAACAAGCGACAGTGCATTTTTACCTAATTATAACCGATTGGAGTGCCCGAATATGCCAGACTAGCAAAGAGCCGGACATGTCATCACTCGTTGTGTCCCCGAAAGTATACGTATAACCGGAAGTTTCTGGTGAGCTCTTAGCGTTTAACTCACATGACACGAGGCTAGCGCTTCGAGAAGCGCACTCACGTGGCATAATGTAGTGAACAAGACACATAGATAGAAAACGTAGCGACATGCAACCATTTAATGATCAAAAACACTGGCAACTTGTTGTGTTAAATGCACATGCAAAGGTATCGATAGCGAAGGTACTGAAGCTCCTTTCTACTCAGTAGACTGAGAGTATTGGCGCCAGCAAAAACCTCAAAAGCTAACAGCATATACATGCCACAATTGTAGCTGTCGACCTGCACTCCAAGCTCACTAAGATACAGTCGAACTCGGTACTTTCTTGGAGCAAAATCTGGCAGCATTGTCACCAACTTGTCAGCGAGGGGTCGAACTTTTGATCCATAGCTTGAATTCGTCGGATCGTAGATTAACACGTCCTTGCATGTCAGGTCTATCATGATTGAACACCAGTGGTTCTTGCCGCAAATTACTGGAATTAAAATCTTCTCACCCGTCGCCCCAAGTAGCACACTCTTCATTGTATCCACCGGCAAGAAGCCATTCATAACGTTCCCTGCGATGGAGGTATCGATACCGATCGTATCGACCCTTTCCGCGAATAGCTTCAACATTAGCGTATTAACGGTGCCGTCGCCCAGTGGTGACTTGCCCACAAGTTCCAGCGCTTCTGCCTACGTTAAATTCGACATATACGTGTTAATAAGTCCACTGTAGCAATGAGTCCGAGTAGTCTGATTTTACTGTACCTGCACCGACAGAAGTGGGATCGTCTTCAGTTTAGGTATCATATCAGGATCTGATTCAGCGCGAAAGGCTTGGGGCATCGGTAGCGTGAAATCAATCGTTTCAATCCAGCTAATAACTTTATCCACATACTGTATGCTCTTCATTGCTCTGTGCCACTTTTTCATCACACCCAAAGTCTCTGTGGCATACGTGCCAATGCCAATTAGTTCCACCGCAATGTCTTGCTCGGCTAGATTCTGGTCAGATGAATCTCTGTGCTTTTTTTGAAGTGTCGAAACTTTGGCGTTGCACCTCTCAATGAGGTCTTTTGGGAAAATTCGCGTGATGGATCGCACAGGGGTGATGTTTTTCGCGGGAGGTAGGCTTAACTTGTTGTGGGCAACTGGGGCTCTGGGTTTTTTGCTGAACTCAAAAAGCTTGAAGCGCGATAGAATCGCGGCGGATTCTTTGTATGTGGGCTCGCCTTCTACAGCATCTTGTACGTTTGCTAGACTCAGATTAGCCGCATACAAATATCAGCAACCGTGGAAATCTGTAACTATCTAATGAGCCCGATCTTGCCCGATTGAGTTTGGCATGACCCGATTGAGTGTGGCTAAACCAGAACCAACCCGACTTGTGCACACCAAGAGTGCAAAAGTTACAACATACCTGGGCAGAGCATCCCGAGGCCCGAGTCTCCTGTCGAGGACGTTTACTTGTGGCTTGTGATTGATACTTACCATAATGCGTACAAACGTAGGTTTTTGCGTAATTCTCCCACTCGGCGGAGTGCTTGGACGCTGAAGAGCCTTGGGCATCTATCCTGCCATTGCGCACGGCGACAGAGGTGTTGGTCCGCACCCGGAAGATCTGGTAAGCAGAGGATGTGACCTTAAGTATTATGTAATAAAGTAAGATCTTGATAACGTACTTGAAACGACTGGGCTTGGTACTTCGCTAGGTAAATTTCGAGCTCTTCCCACGAGCGAAACTGCGTCTCTCCCGGCGGCGGGGCGATGACGCAAATTTGACCGGACTCCTCGCTTGCGCTACTTGTGGTCCCTGTCATCTCCACACGAGGCGGGCTTGGCGACGGCTGCCACTCACTTGATGAGCCGTCGGATGCGTTGCTGTCGTTGTCGACGTCGATGTCGTCCGCCGATAGGGGGCGCTTTTGAGCGTTGCGCAGCCGCGGCGGCATCTTGCTTCCTCAGGAGCCACGCGTTTTCTGGAGGGGGAGAGGATTTTTGTGGTTGACGGGTATACGGCCTGTATACGCTATACCCAGTACGGATATGGTAGAATATAGCAAATCGGAAGATAATGAAGGATTTGCTGGGAGTGGAGTGCTCCCAGTCTGTCAAAATACTCACTTCCTTTTATTTTTTGTATGATTACCAGAGCATTGTCAACATTTCTGAAAGTAATTTTTTGCACAGTACTTTTTTTAAACCTCCAAAAAAAACGGTAAATTGCTAAGATAATTTACAGTTTTTTAGGAAGCTAACAAAAAAAAATTTCGTGGAAAAGTAATACTCCTAGTACTACTACTATTTTTGCATACTTTATGGGGGAAATTTTAATCTAACGTTTCATTGTCCGGACGCAAACGGATTTCTGTAAAAAAAAAAAAAAAAAAAAAAGGAGGGTTACATCTACTGCAAACGTTGATCTCCTGTTTGTTCTTTTGTGAAGGCAAGTATCTTACCAGGAAACTCCAGGCTGGAATCGACTAAAGTTGTTACCAAACAAAAGTCGAACGACGCACCGAAACAAAACGTATGAGCACTTCAAAAGATTTTTACATTAAGATTAGGAAGAGTACTTCCGTTGATCTATTGAGGGGTGGTGGTGGACTTGTACACACCGTCCTTCTCCAGGTCGTTCTGCTTGGCGACCGAGTTGAACGACTCGCGGGTGAAGTCGTCGGCGCCGTGCAGCTTCTGGTAGAATTCAGCGTCCATCTCGTCGAAGCCCTGCTCGTTGTCGAACATGCAGAACCAAGTGAGCGGGATCGACACCAAAGTGATGGCAGCGAACGTGTAGAAGGCGCCGTCATAGCCGAAGCTTTCGTTCTCGACCCAGATGGAGAAACCGAACGAACCGATGGCGGCACCGGCCTTACCGGCGGCAGCCGAGATACCGTGGCACGTGGAACGGATGGGCGTGGGGAACATCTCCGTGGGCATGACGAAGGTCGACATGTTGGGACCGAAGTTGGAGAAGAAGAGAGCAAGACCGTACAGGATGATGAAGAGCACAGCCTCCTCCTTAATGTCATCCCAGAAGATTGCGAGCACCAGGAACAGAATCGTCATGACAACGAAACCCTGCAGCTGGATGACCTTGCGACCCAGACGGTTGATGAAGTACACGGCGACGTAGTAACCGGGCAGAGCCATCAGAGCAACGAAGGCGTTCTGCGTCGTCACAACCTGCAGCGAAGCGTTCTCGACACCAACGACAGACAGGATACTGGCCGAAAACAGGTTCTGGGCGTAGAACACAATGTCGAACAGGAACCACGTGCCGGCCGTACCCAGAAGGCTGACACCGTAGTTGCGGATGATGAACGAGAGACGAGCACGCGAGGCCGAGGGGTTGGCGTTAGCGGCAGCCTGGCGACGCTCCTCGGCAGCCTTGTAAGCGTCGGTCTCCTCGGCGGTGATACGCCAGTAGCACACGACAATAGCGGGGACGACACCAATAGCGAATAGCAGACGCCAGACAGTCTCAAGACGGGAGTCGGGGTTCTGGTCCTTGTCGCCGTTAGCGAGGGCCTGGATGATCAGGTTGCCCAGAATGGCAGCAGTCAGCGAACCCACTCCCTGCAGGGAGAACGTAAGGGCCACGCGCTGGTTGCGGTCAGCCACGGACGTAGCATCTTCGGCCGTCGACGAGGCGGCGAGCGGGTATTCGCCACCAATACCGATACCGAGGATGAAGCGGGCGACGACCAGGAACCACAGAGTACCTTCGGCCGAGCCACCGTAGGCGGCCGTACAGAGGATACCACCAAAGATGAGCAGGACGCAAGTGGCAATCATGTTGACACGACGACCGAAGACATCACCAAGGTAGCCAAAAGCCAGCTGGCCCACGACGGCACCAATGAGGGCCGCGGCAGATACCCACGACTTCATGGTGGACGTGTACACGTGCTTGCCGTACTGCTCCGTGAGCACGATGTTGATCACGTTCATGACGAACAGATCGTAGGCATCGTTAAAGAAACCGAGGCCTCGCACCAGGAACTTGTTCATCTTTCTGCGCTTGGGAGTCCTGGAGTATTGCGGGGAGCGAAGCAAAATGCGGAATGACCCCAGCTCAACGCTGAGATTGGCGCCAAGACAGACGACGACACCGGCTGAAATGCCCAGCAGATACCGTGGTGGTTGGCCGCGAGGCTTCGCCTTACCCACGATAGGCATCTGATTAGAAAACCGGCAAATAAAAAGAACCCACGGTGAAACGAGACAGGTTGCAGTGGTTGTAGTGGCACAGAGACCTCGGCCAGATGATGAATAGCCGGTGCTCTTTCACCCTAGAGATTCGCCGGGGACGAGCTCCTAGCGCTGCTAACGGTTTCTCATGCAGTGGAATCTGGAGAGATTCCTGGTTGCACTCCTTCGTACGACGTGCAATGTGAACAGACTGGCCAACATCGCGAAAACGGGGCCCGAACCTAATTGCCGGCCAAGATTAAAATTGGACCAGGATTAAAATTCATTTGACCTAGATTAATGCGGCACCACCGAGCGTGTCTCCTGCCACGATCACTTGAGAATTACACAGTACTGTAAAAGCTTGTTGCTTTTCATGAAGCTTTTCCAAAACGCTCCTGTCCACAGGATATTTTTCATCTCTTTCGTTCTGTTTGTATTTCTAATTCCCCTATTCCCCTGACTATCCCCGCTTTGTTTTTCTATAGGTTAGCCAAAAAGCCGGACTCGGTCAGCAGTTAGTTTTCGCTCAGTTTCACTACTGCGACAGTTTCCAGTATTCGATTAACTGGGAAGCAAACTGTGTATTTTATAGGTTCGTTTTGGTAAAACTCATTTGCCGTACACCAAGAATGGGAAGTTTGTGTTGTATGGTACTGGTAGGATTTTCGGAATCCGCAAGTTTCGGGACCCGCGATGGTTTTGTCGCCCACCTCACTGAGTAGGGCGACGTGGGAGACGCCCTCCTCACTGAGCAGGGCACGCGTAGATGAGCTTGAGCACATGCACACGGCGGGCATCGTCTCAACAATGTCCGCTGGCATGCCCGGTTTGGCAAGGATACAACTAGGAAATGTGAGATTCGCTTGTGTCCGTTTTGTAGTCTTCGAGAATACGACGGTAGACGTCTAAAATCTGCAGATTCGCCCCAAATCAAATCGGCCTCTCCTTTGAACCGTACCAAATTGTCAGAGACCGTACAAGATGAAGTGATTAAAATTTTAATATCCAGATCAATTTCTAACCGGCAGTCTGCACGAAGATAAATCTCGTCACTGTTTTGGTGGAGCTCTGCGAGCTTGCAGACGCACTGCTACCTGTACAGTACACAAAATCTGAGGTTTTGTGGTTTTCACCAGGATGTACAAGATGACAAATGACTCTTGTCAGACAAAACAACGAGTCCGACGCGCCGTAGGTCACAGCAGGACCTGAACATCGCAGTGGAATACTTCTGAAGTACTTCAAGGAGACTGTCGTGAACATCACCGTTACTTGGGGTGTGAGAACTTCTCACATCCTCACTGGAAGCTGCCTAGAACTTCTTTCTTCTTGAAGAAGCGGACCACTGGATTGTGAATCGTTTTTGTTGGATGATACCAGCGATATCGCTCTCTGTATGGTGGTGACTCACCATAGTGCGGTGACCAAACAGAGAGTGATCCGAACTGTAGACCTCGAGTCGTGGAGCTCCGTGTGTAGGGAGGTCGAACGATTTTGGCTGATGCTGCAAAAAGGCCCGCATACACATTAATAAAGGCTCACTAAGGAACTGGAATACATGCACGCACCAATACATGTATATCGGAATGTACGATCGGTGCGTATCATAAATTTTGTGCGGGCAGTAGTGGTTGTGCAATCTTGGGCTAGAGCTGGTATCCACGTTAAATCAACGCTCTTGTTGCGGGAGTGCACAAATAGTATTTCGAAATAGGGTAGCTATTGTCGAAGCAGTCACTGATGCGGGAGCATGGCAAGGAGATACTGTACCGCAGAGATAGCGAAATGGCCTCACGGTCGCAACCTACAAGCGTATTTCACAAGCCATACATGGGATCATTGAAAATTATTCTGACCAGCGATGCAGTGTTCACCAACGTACAGGTCCATAAATAAAATGAAATGTAGGACTTTTAATCAGTATCCGTCAAAACGAAAGCATGAGAACTAAACAGTGACGAAGCCGAAGCTGGATTGTGTTGTATTCTTTTGGGCTACGCGTAGTATCAACTGATGCGTGACGAAAGAAGGCAGCTACCGGTAATACGAACTTCGTTGTCGACATAGAGCGAGAGAAGCCTCACCCACACCACCTCATTATTATTAAACAATAGGCAATAGTGTTTTTTTTTACTGTACGAGTAGCATTATTTTCAAACTTAGCTTTACTACCATAAAATTCTTTTGTGTCATTTAACGATCATGGCATAGACGCACTGCGAGAAAGCAGCGGAGACTCGGGCGTCAGTGGGCTCTCCGCCATCGATTTGAGCTTAATCGCTGCCTCCTCGACACTTTCAGGATCTTTCTTGCTCAGTCGGCGGCGGTATACTCGACGGAGCAGCACTCGACGCAATAGTGGCCGATGATCACGTACGAGTCTGTCCAGTCGCATCTCGCGCTGCGTAGCCGACAGATTTGTCACCTTTTGTAGCGCTTCACTCATTCTGTAGTGCCAGAGGTACCACTTGTCGTACTCATCGTTTTCTACGGGTGCAAGGAGCTTGCGTTGTGCACGTTGACGAGCCACCTCCTCGGACCACGAGAATGAATGCCCACAAAGGCAGTTAAGCGAGTCACATCCGTCCACCATGACGACTGTGACGCTACAGCCGCGGCATTCCACGACGTTTTCCTCCTCAATAAAGTCCCGACAGTCTCCATCATGGTGGTTCGTGGCCTTGCACTTGAAGCAAACAGCAACGCCACAGCATATTGTACGCGTGTCTGGGTTCTTGTTCAAATGACGCAGTAGCAGTGCTGCACGTCGCTCTTCGTCCACAATATTGGGTAGCAGTCTCCACAGTACCTGCTCACTATTTTTCTTAAACTTTTCTGTTAAAAACCTGTAAAATTCCGTCGCATCTTGACGATGGTAGCAGTACTCTACACCGCGTTGATACAACTCGCTTAGAGCTTCAACCTGCTCAACAGGCAGCTCTAATTGGGCATCTTCGTCGTCTCCAACCTCCGTCTCTGCATATCGTTCCGGTAGCATCGTGTAGCTTGAAAGATGGCAGCATGGACTCTGGAAACCGCAGCTTTGACGACAAAGCATCACGTATTTCTCCAGTACGTGTCTGTTGTCATCTTGCTGTTGCTGTTGCTCCTCTTGTGTTTGTTCCTGTTCGGGTTCTCGAGTGTCGTGTAGCTCTAGCGTTGGAGGTTGGACGAACTGTTCCCATTGGTTTTTATTAAGCAGAGTGAGACACACTGGGCAACGGACTTTGGGTAGAATGCCCGGGTAGAAGGAGTAGACGCTGGTAGTGAGATAGCGCACGAGGCATTGGCTACAGACCTCGGCCAGACAGTCGACGCCGCACAGTTGGAAGACGGAGGCTGCAGTGTCCATGCAGATCTGGCAGAGAACGGGGAAAGCTTCGTGGTTGATGGGTGTGGCGGTGGCAGGAGCGACTGCATCAAGTGCACTTGGCATGATGGTTACGCGTTGAGTGGTCGCAGCCATGTCGGGAAGACGCTTGTTGAGGAATGGCTCTGGTAGTCAACTTCGAGTTGAATGAGAAAATGACCATCACTCATATTTGGCAACATGGGTTCATAAGCGTGGAAAAATTTCTATGAGCGGTGGCACAGCCCGTGTTTTTATACGGGTTAAGTTAGCGACCATACTGAAAACAAGTAAAGTCGAAAAACATGCTAAACCACGGTGGAAACATGGATCCATGTTTTGATTCTTGGGACGGGTGTCACGGTTGCAAATCACATGGGCTAAGGTAAATCGCAGCAAATGTTGCTTAAAGGTACGCTTAAGTACCTACCTTTAAGCAGCATGCTAGCTGCGATTTACCTTTGCATTAACCCCCCCCCCCCCCACACACACACACACACACACTTACGGCGAAATTTGCTCTATGTCCACAACCCCACATGCTGTATATACTACATATTAAAGACAGACTACACTTGAATTTTGTAAAGGACCGTGTAAGTACGAAACAGTTTTCTGTACTGCGGGAAGATTGTGAGATTGGTCATGCATTGATTGCGATTTTCCTCGCAGCGCTATGCATCAGCATGTTGGCAAAGACACCCACGCTACAGGAGGAAGTTCTGACAGGGCGTATTAGACATGATCTGAGTGCCTCTTTTACAATTTTTGCCCAAAACTGTATTGAATATGCTTGAACACTGCGTTGATTGCAAAGACCATTGGATTATGCACGACTAATTCGTACATTTTTGTTCACTACTCTTCACTATCACTACCCTCTCCACCATTGTCGCCGACAACTTCTTGTCCTCCTCCGTTGTCGCCACTGTCACTGCCTTCCTCGTTGTTGGAGTGGCACCGACGTTTCTTCCCTACACTACGCATCTGAATGCCCTACGCGAGGATGAGGTCGCTCCTCTCCATTTTTTCACATGACATGCCAGATTTGGTGGCACGTCATGGTGTTTCGTAGGTAATGGCCTGGCCGAATACGATCACAGAGGTAGACGCTGCATATACATACCAAGTACAGTTAGTTGAGTTGCCACTAATAATGATCGTCATCGACTTACCGTCTGCTACCATCGCTACACGCCTCACAGTAGAATCTCGTTGCACTCCGTTGACCAACTTTCTGCTTCCGAATTGAGCAGACCTTGCATTGATGCTGAGGCCTCTTTCGAACACCCTCACGAACCTGTGTTCACTCAGGAAACTCTGTCAATTTGTGTTCAGCTGGAACGTTCGCACTTTGCTCGGATGGCACTGGTGAGAATGTCTACACGATAATAAAGTAAGTTAGTAAAATACAACATGTACAACATGTCAATCACCAAACATGTAGGATATACCTCTTTAACAAAATCTGCGGACGTGACCTGCAACAGTTGCGCCTGCAATTCTGAAAGAAACTCTGCATGATCAGCAGCGGGCTCACCATTCTGCTTCCGTGCCTCACGATTGATGATGAGTGCGTTCACAATAGCGATGTCGACAAGGCCCAAGAAGATCGTCTTATAGTACTTCCGAAAGCGAACGGACAGCTGAAGCGAGTAACGTTGCAGTCTCAGCTGGTCATGAATGACAACCCCGCCCATCCAACGGTGATAGCCACGCATGGCGGATGGGCAAGGGATAATGGATCTCCGACCACCAGGCAAGTGTCGTCCTTTGATAGAAACAAAATAAGTAGCAAAAGTTAGCATTCATTCGTCAGTATATATATCCATACAACATACCGCATGACTAGATTGTAGTGCTGTGCCCGGTAGAAAGAAGGTAAACGGGAAGACGATTCCACCAGCGCATGACTTGTAGGAGATTGCAGCACTCCGCGACAGCGATGGTGCTGGTACCACGTTCAATAGGAGATGGGCGAGTGGCATCCGAAGTAATTAGATTTGATGGAAATCCTTTTTTGTTGGTCTGGATGGTCCCAACGGTGTATACATTCCGGGCCAGAAGCTGCATTGCTAGCTGGATCGACGTGTAAAATCGATCTGTAACCACTGTGTGGTAGACACCTTCTTCTTGACCAGGAAGCACTGCTTCCAGATTCCTGATAACTGCAGCAGGGCCGGAGTTTGGATCGGGAGAGATCGGGATATGCGGGTCTCCTCCAAGCTCGTCGGCATGCTGATCAGTGCCACAGAAACTTCCAATCTGTTCATGTTGTATATACACCATGCAGATTAATTTACAAGTGATTAAATACAACATGAAACACTTAGCACAAAAAAACGAACCAGCGTTTCACGTACCGTAGGCAGTATGCAGTAGTGGCGCAACATGTCATGAACAGTTTCGTGCCCCAATTATGGGGCTTGTCCTTCATTAATTGTCTCGTTTCATTGTGGCGACTTCTTGAAGGAATCATTGCTTCGGCAAATGAGAGCACCGGAGGAACGTTGTAGCCACGTGCAAATGTATGCTGAAGTGTATCTACGACAGAGCGAACCTTCCACACGCGGTCCGTCTCAGCTCGCGCGTCCGTGTTGACAGTGAAATGGAGGTTTTGCATGATGCATTCAAAGCGGGACTTTCCCTTATACGACCCAAACGTGCCTTTGGGGGCTGCGCCTACAGGTTTCGTAGCCCAATGCTCAGCAAACCGACGCTTGTGAGGACAAAGCATCCTCGCAATTAGCAGGCCGATGCAGTGAACAACGTCCTCAGGCGTTATCTTCATGTGCTTCTTCGTCTCCTGGAGAAGCACTTCTTCCCTTTTGTTAGCTCTTCATTGTCTTCCACTCGGGTGTCAAAAATTCTATCCACTCGCTCATTGAGGTGCTGGTGATAATAGCGATTACTTTCTGTAGCAATCCGACGCCACAGGCGACGAGGCGTGAAGAAGAAAAACAGGCTCAAAGGTGAGTCGACAGCTTCCAACACTGCCTCAGTAGGTCCGTATCCACCACGGTAGAGTCCAGGATACAATCCCTCATCCTCGATGCACCAGTCATCGGAGTCCCCACCCTCCCCCTCCAAGTCTGAGTTGAGCGCACCATCATCACGATTTTGGATAGAAGCGCCCGTAGTAACAGCTGAGCTCGAGTCTGGGTTAGCTGTACTCATAGTCAGTGACCTGTCAAGAATTTCCTCATCAACAAGTGTTACTATACAGCATGCTCAACTCTTTACACGCTGTATATACAACATGGCACATACCTTGCTGGTTGACGTCTGGTCTGAGGCACTGCTAATATTTCGGTGGATGAAGCAGGCGATCTGCACACAACATACAACATCATTCGTATTAGTTGGTGGTGTATATACAACATGAAATATGCGTTTGCACCTTGCCGCGAAAGCTACACCCTCATCGTCAGCGACTTCATCCCCATCTGAGTCAACAATGTGACGTCTTTTGCTTCTTGGCAGCTTGCTTCTTGGCAGCTTGCTTCTTGGTGCCCCTCTTCTCTTCTTCTCTGCTGCTAAAATCAGGAGAGCTTCTGCGCGCGCTCCTACGCCTCACCTTTCCACTTCCGCAACTCGCGCACGTCCCCTCGCCTTCTCATTTGCGCGTCGAGCAACCACCACCGCAGCACGGGCTATCGTTTGCGCAGCCTTTGTCTTCTTCTCCTCTCTGGCCAAAGTAGCACGCTGTGCCTTGGATATTCTCTTTTTCACCGGGCTCTTCTTTGTAGACGTCTCAGCTTCTAGGCGGTCTTTATTTTCTTCTTGGCTGCTGCAAGATAAGCAGCATTCTTACCCATCGGCAGGCCTCTGCAAATAAGGGATTTACTTATTTTCCGTATTGAAGCATTATACAGGTATTCCGGATGTCGAGGTATGGGAAAAGTGGAGCTACAGTTATTTTGCTAGCTAAAGTGCTTTTGAAGTAAGGCAGAGAGGCCCCGGACTTCTTCAAACTGTTTGGCTTGTAGAATTCCTTCTTGAGAGAAATTACTGAGGCTACGGCGGTAAGTATCTTTCTCCCATCCCATAATCGAGAAGTCACTTTCAACAGTAGACGTATTTGGGAACGTTGAGGCCAAGTCACCGCAGAACTGCATCAGCGCCGGGAATTCTGCACCTACAACAGCCCAAGCTTGGTCGAAAGAAGTGTAGTTGTCATCAGCAGCGCGGATAACTTTGCCGAGTTCATCTTCCCGCTCGCAGCATCGCTGCAGTTTGACAAACTCCTTAGAAATCTGGTGTATTTCTGTTGCATCAAGAGTCTTGCTGAGCCGGGGAGTGTGCTGTTTTATCATTTGTGCAAATTCAGGCGTACCAATGCCTAGTAGTTGATGCGTAGTACAAGGGGCGTGTCGTCGTACGCAGCATTTGCAGCTTCCCTTTCAGCCGTAATGACAGAAATTTCACTGGCCCCATTGACAAACAGTTTAGCAACGGCAACAACTGTTTGTAATTTGGTGTCCGGGTCTAGCGATTCGAGGGCTTCTAAAACCCAAATATCCAGACTTTGGAGAAATGCAAGTGCATGAACATGTTCGAGAACATATTCGCCATTAGATTCGAATTGCTTTCCAGTCATTTTTGCAATGGCACTGCTATGGATAGGGCCTTCCATGTGTGTCATCCGTTTGTGCGTTTCAATCAGCCTTCTAAGCATCACACGTTGCTCGGACAGTAGCGTCGCCCGCCCTTGCTGGGCGATAAAGGTTTTGCTGGATTCGGCCGCGAACGCCTGGACTGCAAAAAGAAATACCCACCACTGTGTAGGTGGGAAATTGGGTGGATTCTTTTCGTCCAAATGCTCCTGAATAGCTAGGATGTTACCCGTAAGCCAATTAGCACACTTGGTCATGGATGTCCATCGTGTTTCGGCCAAATAGGGGCACTCCGAGCGAACTGTTTTAATAAACTTGGTTGCCGACGTAGATGACCAATTAAACCCGTCAGAAAAGACATGTAATTCTCATCTAGAGCCGTCTCGAAACAAGCTTTCATCACCAAATCAAGCTGGTGCAGACCACACCATACGCGAATAATTTTTTGGCCGGTTGTAGCGGCAGCAATTCGTGTAGCAAGCCCTTTAATTCGCCCAGTCATTGTGTTTTCACCATCAGTTGAGACCCCCACTAGTAAACCGCTCCAAGTAGGTATTATCGCTGTTAAGAAGGTTTGAAGTGAATTGAACAAATTCTTCGCATTATGGCGGTCGTACAATGGTACTGCCATTAGATGGAAATTGTACAGCTTTCCTAAGACAACAAACCGGCAGCGAGCATCTAAATAAGACATTCCTTGTAAGGTTGCACAGTCTAGAGCTAGCGAAAACCCATGAGTCGTTGCCAATATGTCACTAAGACACTGAAATCCAACAGCACAGACCACACGAACGAAATTTGAGACCACGAGCTCCGGAATACCAGAGTAGCAGACAAATCCAGTCTCTTCCCGAACAATTTGGGCCTGGATTGTAGCTTGACAAAAAGACGATCCAGAAGCTACCAATTTGACTACTAGCGAAAAACGTTTCGCTTTTTTAATAGTCGCAGTATATGTTCCGTTGTCAGACGTGTCGCTCTTTACGAATAAGCTGAGTGCACGCTTGTGGGTGAGTCCTTCTAAGTCGTCGGGATGGAAAAGAAGCGCTTCAATGACAATCTCTACGATGGGTTTGCTGACTGGCATTCGCAACGCATCTTCTCCGTAATGGGAGGCGATGGTTTCTTGAAATGGCACCTCAACGGCGGCAAAGAATGTTTCTCTGTCTTGTAGCAATAGCAACGATTTAAACTCTGACCATTTTTTGGGATGTTCAATCTCGTGGTGGTGAGTATAAAGATCTGTACGGAAAGTCTTAAACATTTTGATCCTTGAGGTTTGACGGCGCGGGGTTTGGATGTATCTGCGATAGACTTCGCCTTACCGCCGAATACTTTGCAGAATCTACACGCAACGTTGCCTTGTCCAGCCGCTGTGACCACGAGGCCGTACTTGGAAGCATGCTCTGGCTTACTTTTGTCTTCTTGGACTTGCCTTTAGGAGGTTGTAGCGTCACCGCCATTCGCCTTGACAGCCACAGCTAGGCGATATCGCTCGAATTGCGAGGCAAGTACGATAGTTTCGTATTTTTAGATAGTAGTTTTGTAATGTTCTTCAAATTCATAAAATTCTTGTACGGAAAAATGGGACAATGAGAAACGGGAAAAATGGGATTTTATTCCGATTTCCCATATTTGCAGAGGCCTGACCATGAGTCTCAGAACTAGATCGAGTCACATCCCATCAATCAGTCCCTTGTTCCCAGAAGCCAACTGTCACTTCACCACACTGACGCACATCGTGGAGGGTATGTCTCTGCTGCCTGGTGCTCGAGGCATCCGGTAGGTGACTGGTGCTTGCTTGTCAAAATCGAATGTGGGAAGTACGCCGCAAATTAACCTTCAGTTGCCATTGAATCAATGCTGGTAGTGTGGCGTCCCAGCCATTCCATTAAAGCCAATAGTAATGCTTAGCCTAATTCGGTGGGGCGCACAAAAGATCCAAATGGCCATTTTGGAGTGGGCCAGAGAAGTAAGTAGAAGCTTTTGCTGAACTACGGTTGGGAGGAACGACACAAGCATGGCCAGCAGGAGCGGCACGTACGCAGTCAAAAAGAGGCGGTAGCTGCGCGTCCTCAACCAGCAGAGTCGAGTGAGTGCAGGATTGGCGTGTGGCAAGAGGTCCTGCGTGGTAGCTGCAAGTGCGCAGTGCGCGCAGCGTGCGCAGCATGCTGTGTAACGGTTGAGGCCTAATCGCCTGCACCCCTCCCCCTAAGCAGATATATGGATTGGAAATGTCAAAGGGAGGTTGACGTCTACTTGTGATGGTGACAATGGCGCCTGGCTCTGATACAGTGCTGCTGTAGGAACGGTAGTGTTTTGAGCCAGAAGTTACAAGCATGATAGAATTCGTCAGTATTCATTAGCTACAAATCTTACTCAAGTACGATTAACTATAAATCATATATCATCGGTCAATAAATATATTTAAACGGTCTCACACCTCGTCAGTTATCCCAAAAATCTCCAATTTTGTTTTTCAATACTACTAAGTTTCATGAATATGATCGCATCGGTCACCTTAACAGATCAACTTGCTAAAACAAAAGTTTTGGTTCAAAAGAATTCTACGAGCTGTATTAGCTACATGTAATGTGCGTGGCGCAGCCTGCCGAGTTGCATGTCTATTAAAGCAAAAGGGAGTGAAAACAAAAAAAAACAATTTTTGAATATACAAAGAGTATCCAGTCTTGCCTAGCCTACAACAGAATGGTAGACAATGACAGCATCTAATGATCTTGTTAAGATTTTATCCTTGGTGATCGTTGTAAAGTCGCGATAATACTTGAGTATTTTGGCGTCGATGTCGTCCTCACCGGGTCTGTAACGGGGTTACACGGGTTTACACCTGGTGTATTCCACACATGGATACGGAGTACCCGAGTTAACAAACCTTCAGTACATGACTCGTAGAGTTAACAGTGGCCTCAGTACATAGGCTGAGAGCCACAGGATATGC